GTTATATATCGCTAGAGTCTTCGAAGAAGACTTCGCAAAATACAGTACGGGTTTACTCGTTTCGTTTCGTTTCGCAAAATACAGTAAGCCTTTTGTACAGCAGGGGAACTTGTTGCAGACTAACAAAATGACTGGTGATGTGCAGTTTATGAAGGAGAATTTAGAGAACACAATTAAGGAAAACTGTTGTACCAATGAATGTTGAGAACGTAATACGTTCTTAAGGGGAACGTTCCGCGAACTCAGATGTAGGGAAGATCATTACACAACTTAATACCGAGTTTGATACGAGCCACCTTAAAAGACATGGAAAGTATTGCGCATTTGAATAAAAGGGAAACGTATGACACACTAGCCTGCAGATAAAATTTTAATGTACCCACACACAATGAAGCATAACACGTTTCAAAATTCAGAGGAACGTATCGCGTATTTCATTGAGGGGAAGGTATTGATAACTTGAATGAGGGGAAAGACTGTAATCTGCACTTAGCGTTCTGGAAACGCATCGTGTACTCAATGCAAGGCAAAATATTCCCTACTTAACAGAAGGAAATCGCATTGCGCACTCTGACGGAATTGCATCTTACGAATAAATGAACCAACTCCTTTTAAGTCCGGAGAACGTACGGCACACCTTTTAAGTGCAAGAAAAATATATTATTTCATCTAAACCTACTTGCACCCATGACTGACAAAGAGTACCGAAGCTTCTAAATTAGTAAAGGTCTGTTGATACACGTATCCGACGGAAGCAAGATTTCTTGTTACACATTTTCAAGACTACAAATTGTACTTATTACATGAAAATTGTGCTTTACAACTGGCACTAAAACTTCATGACGCAGTAATCCTGAGTGACCCGTTAATTCAACTGCACTAGACTGCAATCACAGACGCCTCTATTGTAACAGGGTTCTTATGATTGAATAGTCCTACGAGAGAAGCATGATTTGACCTACTCACAGTTTCAAGACTACAAATTGTACTTCGTCCGTGTGAAATTAATTGTGCTTTATATCAGTTTGAAACTTAAACTTCAATTTTGTGAGTCCGTAATCTTTGGTGACTCTAGCTAGAGTGCATTAGTCTGCAATACACAAAGGTTACAGCTTCACTTCTGTTGAGCAACTAAGAAATCACTTGACAAGTACTTCCCAACAGTGTACATCTACAGTAATTCAGTCTTGCCATGGTGTCCAGATACCTTCCAATTCTGCTTTAATGAAAGCCCGAGGATCAGGCAGTTTGTTAAACGCAGGCACCATCCCTTTAATGTAGTACTGCACTCTTTCTTGCAATTCCTTGACTACGTCTGGGAGTTTCTCACTAAGATCTTCATGTTCCGTTGGGTCGGCGGTAACGTTATACAAAACAACTTTCAGGCGACTTCCAACGTTCTGCGAAAGAAATGCGTCCACTAAGCCACCTGACTAACTACAACTTGTACGGGTCATGGCGATGATATATACAGTTTCCCTTCCCTGTTCGATTCCACAAGAACAGGTGAGGCAAAACCATTTCCTCCCCCTAACCCTCCTCTACGCCAAACTGGTTGTGTTATTGAAGAAAACTTGAAATTACCATTATCATTAGGTATCCTTTCCCATCCATATCAGGTATATTTCGGTTTAGTTAAAACGTTCCAACCTGAAAAGATTCCCAACCCCTATTTGTTCCCCAGCCCAGAGGCGCTTAGTGTCTCACTACCAGGCATGTTGTGTCCTGTACTCTGCAGATTCTTTCACGATTTTGCCATTTTCAGATCTAAAAAGTTACTAAAGAGGTGGCTTGCATACCACTTTGGAGAATCCGACTACATAGCTACAGTTAAGGCAATTAAGTTATCTGTTATTTCAACCAAGGTCTCATTAAAGGTATCTTCTCCCAAAAGACTATCTTACAATTATAATTATCAGCCAAATCATTTCCACTGAACCGAAGAAAGTAATACAGTTAGTCCCTGAATGGAGTTTATCGCAGATATGCCAAACTTGATATGATCAAGTTCACATTACTTGAATGTCATATTGCTACTCTACCTCTTTGGTAGATGCCAGTAAATCCAGAACTTTATCCTTTTTGTGGGAAATCACATGTTTCCTGTCTGATTTTCCACCCAGTTCCGGGGGGGTATACCAAGTGTCATTATCCACACCCATCAAAATTTTCATATGCCCTGATCTGAGTGCAACTCCTTCATAGAAGGAAATGGATGGATCGCCATTGTCAAGAGGAGAGGGGTCAATATTGAGAAGAATCTCCTTCCTTGGTGAAGGGTCGCCACGGGAGATGGTGTTCCAGACATCCATGCCATCCAAGGGTGTTGATTCTTGATCAGCATTACCACCTGTCATATGCAGATGCAAAATAAACTGTGGTTACATGTACATTTGTTCTTAGGTCCAGTGGCCCACAATACTGGACTTTTTCTTGGTTTCTGTAGAATGATGCAGCTCTAGAAGGGATTCTAGTCTATTGGAAGTTATCCCCCCACCCCTAGAATTTTTCCCGGTGTCTTGAAAAGTTTTCTGATACTCATTTATATTCCTGGATGGGGAGAAACAATTTAAAAGTTCTGTGTCTTCCCAAAGCAACACAAAACAATGACTCAGCTAGGGCTTGACCCAGGACCTCTTGGCCCGTAGTCCAGCATGCCTACATTGCACCACTGCATCATCCCAATGAAACTAAAGGGTTCATTATTGATACACTTTTGCACAAGGCACTACAATAAATGTTAGAGCTGTACTATGTTTAGGTGAAGCTTCTCTGCACCAAACAAATTAAACATGTATGTGGACAGAGCCTCTGATTTGGGACAAAAACACTAAAATGAAATTTTACCAGAAAACAAAATCCAGTGAAGCATTCCAAGCTTTATGGATAAAAATTGTCTTTCTCTCAAGAAAAACATCTTTTGTCATATTGTGAAGAAAATGGCATCAAATATTGAGAACTGGTGTTCCTATGAAATCTTAAAGCTGCACTCTGATCCAAAAAATATTGGAGATAATAGACAAAAGAGAAAAACAGACCATTAATTATACCTGCAAGATTCACCAATGTTGGGTACCAATCTGTAGCATGCATAAGTTCTTTGCTTACAACTCCTTTTCTGCCCAGCATGTTTCCATGGACAAAGCTGACTCCTCTCACCCCTCCCTCCCACAAAGTTGTCTTCTCTCCACGAAGGGGATAATTATATCCTCCACGACTGTGGATTCCTCCATTGTCAGTAGTTAAAACCATAAGTGTGTTTTCCCACAACCTGATAAATGACAGGAACAAAAGAAAATAAATTGATTTTTTTAGAAATTTCAGAGGAAGGTAAGTCTGTACAATTTGAGTCAAGGACCCCACCTCACAAGGGTTTATCCCAGCTTCCTTAACATAAAGCAACTTGGAGTATTAATACGTCTCCCTGGATGGGGTGCTAGTCCATCACAAATTTACCCCCCAGCACATCATCATGCAGGCTTCCCTAATATTTCCTGGGTACCCACGACACTCCTGGGTAGAAAGAGAAACTGTGAGTCAAAGTAAAATGTTTTGTTTTTGAACACAACAGTGACCTGGCTAGGTCTCAAATCCGACCCTCTCCACCCGGAGTCCTGTGCATTTGTTTCAAGGTATTTCTTTGGGCCTAATGTTGAGGTGTTTATGAAGTAATCATGTGTGTATTGAAAGAGAAATTAGTACTTTAAAATTAGTTTCACCTTCATAGTAAGTGGGATCAGAAAACCTAGCCATTAAATTTTTTTAAGTTTAATAGAAAAAAAAAATGCCCATACCCAGCATCCTTCATGGTCTGTGTGATATTTCCTATCGCTTCATCTGTGATGCTCACCATGCCTGCATAAGTTCTGCGAGTTTCATCTGTTATGAAACTGTACTTGTCTGTATATTCTTTGGGTGCTTGGACGGGGCCATGGCAATTTTGGAATGCCATATACATGAAAAGGGGATTTGATGGGTTGTGTGACTTGATAATTTCAGTTGCTCGCTACAATTAGAATATTTGTGTCACTAGCATGTTTGAAGTTGGAAACTATTAATAGTCAGGCTAATGGTACTTTACAAAGTTCTGGATCTTGCATCTGATTTGGAATATTTTTCAGCCTTTGCAATGAGCCCTGAGGTCTCGCATTGATAATGTGATGGTGTAATAGTGTCATTATTTTGGTATCAAAGTCTTGAATTTTCCCGAGTTCTCAAATCTCATTTTTTCTCATTTGTTTAAGTGAAGGTCCTTGTCAGATGGGATTGTAAAGGACCAAAGTCTCTGTGCATGCTATAATATGATAATTGCAATGTAAGGGTGGTATTGCAAGAAGTAGATCTTCAGAGAGTTGGGTCAAATAACATCTCAGTAACTAACACATGTAAAATACACTGAAGCAAATTACAATTCAGTTAAATGATAAAAATTGAGAATACCATTGAAAAACGGACACATTTGTGCAACAATTAACTTTCAGGCTACTTGTGTATGATGTTAGTCCTCAAAACCTAATAACAGTGATCTCCTAGAAATGAAATGATTAAAAAAAAATCAACTCTGAACAGCAGCTCAAATTCAAAATACCTTTGTAAAAGCAAATGTGGCATATGTCCCATTCAGGTCCCTTACAGGTTCTTCATCATCTCGTAAGTCCAATATGTTCTGGATTTCATGAGTGTAGTGATCTTCAGCTCCATTGTAATAGCCATAAAATGAATCAAAGCCACGATAAGTAGGTGTATAGGCCCATTTGTTGTAACCAAGGTGCCATTTACCGACCATGTGAGTTGCATAACCTTTGGAAGAAAGTATGAAGATAAGGGGCACACCGAGGGGGGACGGACTACTTGRAAAWWAAWTTYCYKSWA